GAACTCCTGAGCTCAAACGATCCACCCGCCTCGGCCTCCCAGAGTGCTAGGATTACAGGCGTGAGCCACCGCGCCCGGCCTGGTTCTCTTATTTTCTTAAATTTTATCTCCTGTTTTCTCCACTATGTCTTTTAGTATTTAAGAGCTCTGTTTTTTACTCTGATGTCCTTTTAGAAAACTTTTTATTTTAAAATAAATACAAACTCACAGGAAGTTGCAAAAATAATACAAAGAGGTCCTGTGTACCCTTTACCCAGTTTCCCCCAATGATTATATTTTACATAAGTCTAGTACAGTATCAAAACTAGAAAATTGAAATTTGTACAATATGTGTATAGTTCCAGGCCATTTTTATCACTTGTGTAGATTTAATATCATTAAGATTTGCACATATGTAGATTTGCAATCCAAATAAAGAATTATTGCATCACCACAAATATCTTCCTCATGCTACCCTTCCTAGTCACACCCACTTTTCTCCCTCTCACCATCCTAACCCCTGGCAACCACAAATGTGTTCTCCATCTCTATAATTTTGTCATTTTGACAATGTTACACAAAATCAGGACAGCGTGTGACATTCTGAGTTTGGCTTTTTTGCACTCAGGATTAAGTCCTTGAGATACATCCAAGTTATGGCATATAGCAATAGTTCATTCTTTTTTATTGCTGATTAGTATTCCATAGTACAGATGTATAATAGTTTTTTAACCATTCAATTAGTATAGGACATTTTGGTTGTTTTCAGTTTTGGGTTATTGCAAATAAAATTAAGAATATTTGTCTTCGTGTGGACGTTAATTTTCATTTCTCTGGGATAAACGCCCAGGAGTACAATTGCTGGGTTGTATGTTAAGCATATGTTTAGTTTTGTTAGAAACTGCCAGACTGTTTTCCAGAGAGGCTGTACCATTTTACATTCTTGCCAACAATGTATGAGAGATTCAGTTTTTGCACATTCTTGGCAACATTTAACATTGTCGATATTTTTTATTTTAGCAGTTCTAATAGGTGTCTAGTGCCACTCTCATTATGTTTTTAAATTGCATTTCCCTAATGGATACTGATTTTGAACTTTTTTTTTTTGTTTGGTATAAATCTGAGGGGTACAGGTGCAATTTTGTTACATGAATATATTGCATAGTGGTGAAGTATGGGCTTTTAGTGCAGCAGTCCCCAACATTTTTGGCACCAGGGACCAGTTTCATGGAAGACAATTTATCCACGAATGGTGGTGGAGGGGTCAGGTGGGGGTATATGGTTTCGGGATGATTCAAGCGCATTGCATTTATTGTGTAGTCAAACCTCTCTGCTAACAATACTCTGTATTTGTAGCCGCTTCCCAGTACTAGCATCACCGCCTCAGCTCCACCTCAGATCATCTGGCATTGGATTCTCAGAAAAAGTGTGCAACCTAGATTCCTCGTTTGTGTAGTTTACAGCTGGGTTCGCGCTCCTGTGAGAATCTAATGCCACGGCTGATCTGACAGGAAGTGGAGCTTATGCAGTGATTCAGGCAATGGGGAGCGGCTGTAAATACAGATGAAGCTTTGCTCTTTCAGCCACCACTCACCTCGTGCTGTGCAGCCCTGTTCCTAATAGGCCACGGATGGGTACCAGTCCATGGCCTGGGGGTTGGGGACCACAGTTTTAGTGTATCCAATGCTGGAGTAATGTACATTGTACCCATTAAGTAATGTCTCATGATCCACCTCCCTCCCACCCTCCTGAACATCTTTTCATGTGATTATTTGCCATCTATATATCTTTCTTCAGTAAAATATCTTTGTGTCTTTTGCCTAGTTTCTTTTTTTTTTTTGAGACAGAGTCTTGCTGTGTTGCCCAGGCTAGAGTGCCGTGGTGTCATCCTAGCTCACAGCAACCTAAAACTCCTGGGCTCAAGCAATCCTTCTGCCTCAGCCTCCCAAGTAGCTGGGACTACAGGCATGCACCACCATGCCC